ATATTGCCTTTTAAAAAGAAGCCTATTGTCATGAAAATAATTTTCGACATTGTGAATTGACTTTTTGCCTTTTATGATTGGGAAATATCTTTGGAGTTATCTTGCAGGTTATTCAGATGAATATACAAGAGGATATTCGGAAACAGATTGTTCAGGAACTAAAAATAAATCAAGCGTCACAGTGTCCACATGTTGTAGTTTGCTATCATTCGTTCTATCATAATGGAGTTATATCACTTGTATTAGAATACATGGATCGTGGTTCTCTAGCCGATGTAATTAAACAAGTTAAAACAATTCTGGAACCATATCTTGCTGTGGTTTGTAAGCAGGTATGCTGGACCATACTTCTATTTCTTTTTGAAATCGGCAGCTTCTAGTTCTGACAATAGTTGAGACCATGTTCTTATTCCTTTTTGACCATTTACATACACATTTCAGGTATTGCAAGGTCTTGTCTATCTTCACAATGAAAGGCATGTAATACATAGAGACATTAAACCATCCAATCTGTTAGTTAATCATAAAGGGGAGGTGAAGATTACTGATTTTGGTGTTAGTGCTATGCTGGCAAGCTCAATGGGTCAAAGAGATACATTTGTTGGAACTTACAATTACATGTCGGTGTGTAACTTTTCTTAGCAGAAACTGCTTGGCATTTGTAATCAAATTTATGATGTACCTTCTCTTTTTCTCCAGACCTTGCATCTATAAAAGGGTTAACATTGGTTTGCTTTTGTTGATTTCCTTGTTTAGCCAGAAAGAATCAGTGGGAGTACTTACGATTATAGCAGTGACATCTGGAGTTTGGGTATGGTAGTGCTTGAGTGTGCCATAGGAAGGTTTCCTTATATACAGTCCGAAGATCAGCAAAACTGGCCTAGTTTTTATGAGCTTCTGGCAGCAATAGTGGAAAGCCCCCCACCTTCTGCTCCTCCTGATCAGTTCTCCCCAGAGTTCTGTTCATTCGTGTCATCCTGGTGATTGTTTAGTTCTTTTCACTTCATTTGTTTCAATATCAACGAAAGCAGAAAAGAGAAATATGGCACTGAAGTTTAACACCACCAAATTAACATGTCACATTGATTATCTTTGCACGTTTGTCTGCCTTTTGGTTAATATCTGTTGGTTAGTCTTTTCTGCTGTAAATAGTGTTTGACTTGTTTTGTTTCTAAGTAAATTCCTTGGTTGAATTTCAGCATCCAAAAGGATCCCCGGGATAGATTAACATCCTTGGAGCTTCTGGTTAGTAACTTAATGCTGTTTTATTGGTTATCTCAGATTTGTTAAAATTTCTAATTGCTGATTCATCTGATTTCATTGTACTTCCAGAGTCACCCTTTCATAAAAAAGTTTGAAGATAAAGATCTAGATCTTGGGATTTTGGTAGGTACCTTGGAACCTCCTGTGAATTTTCCCAGATAAATTCTTATGATGTAGAGTACCTTGGAACCTTGGTGATTTCATTACAGTTTTCTGAATTCTGTTATGTATAATAGTTGTTTCTTGTATTCCAAGCTTGACCATTTTGTTTGATATTCTGACATTGATATATAGAACAGTTACATATGAAATCAAATTAAATATAAACAGCATAAATTTGAAATGACTCAATAGTATATATATGTATTCACCCGAAATAAATTCATTCAAAACACCGTTGGAAAATTACACCAGTAAAAGATTATTAGTCGATTACATGTTAATTCACTTTTATTTTTACTTTCTTATTATCAAACATCCCATCATATGCATATTTTCATTTCAAAATATTCATTTTGATATCGTTTAGACAAAAAGATCACTATGTTTTTTAAAATTTATATAACTAAACATATCAATTTAAATGTTGAAAATTAAGATGATGTTTTTTTCTTGAAAATAGACGAAATTGAGCTTTTCAGTTTTATAGAAAAAAATTTAAGAAGTATAAGATAGACTTTGGATTCATTAAAAAAAAAAAACTTCGAATAAAACACAGAAAGGGAAATTAATTTGCAACATTAACCAAAAAATAGAAAATACATTACATCGATGTTTGTAGCAAATCATGAACATCTTGAAAATGTTGGTAGTAATTTTATTTTAATAATTAAAAAATTAATAACTTACACTAACCTAATCCTCAATGAATGGTGTGAAAAATTTCAACCATGATAATTAGAAACAGAGAGGAATGGTCAAATTTGAGTTCGGAACGGGGAAGCTTTTTCATTTGCTTGAATAAAAGGGGTCAAAATTTTGAATGAATGTGAATTAAATAATGAATTAAAGTGCAGTTTTGGGAGGAAAGAGAGGATGAATGAATGGTGAGAGGCAACCAATGAGGGGACCAAACGTTTCCCATTGAAAACCAGTGGGCGCTCATTTAATCAATGGATTATAACACTGTCCTAATCCATATCGTCTTTCTTTTTTCCATTTTTTCATTCAAATAAATAATCTAATAAATATACAACTTGTATCATTATAAAACCTAAAACATTATCATATAATGTCATGTTCATACTCAACATCATTAAAAAATAATTCAAGTTTTACGGATTTTTTTTCAAGTGCGATTAAAAGGGTTTAGTTAAGTTATTTAAAAATAATTAAAAACTGAATAATATACCATGTGTGACCTAATAGGAAGCAAGTGGTGAGAGTGTATTTGGACATATCCAAACAGCACAGCATGATGAGGGGTGAGGTCTGACCAAGTCAATCTCCTTATCTTCCTCACATCTCATACTCTTCTCCTACCAATCCACCTCATTCTAATTCTCTGTACCAAAATATTCGCACGATTTTATTTTATATGTTAAAATTTACTCTTTTTCTTATCAATTTTTTAAGTTTTAAATTATTTAGAACGTGAGATTAAGAATAATTTATATTTTTTTATATATTTTTTAATTAATCAAAAAATATTTTAAAGATAAATTTATGATCAAATGAGTTTTATTATAATATATATATATATATATATATATATTAAAAATTAAATAGAGTATTGATGTTTATTTTGGATTGAGAAAATAATTTCATTTTATTTATACTCCTTAATTTTTTATTAAGAGATTTATATTCATTTTTTATTAGGAGATATATATTCATGAGTTTCGTATAACTTAAAAATGAAAATGAAAAATAATTTATATACATATTTTTGTTTTTTAAAAATAAATTATAATGAATTAAAATTTTAAAATAGATATCACATAGTGAATATAGAAATTAATCTTTGTTCAATATGTTCATAAGTCTCATTTCATTATTAATGATAATTTATACTAAAACATTTTTTTAAGTATAAAGACGAGTGGACAAAACCTCTATATTTAAGAATTTACTTTAATGATATAATTCTATCGGACAGAATAATTTTAGTTATATCATTATACTGGACATGAAGTGAAGACTCTCTTTATCTTTTATAGGAAACAATATATATAAGAAAAAAAAAATATATTTTTACTGCTGTCATTGTTAAGAAATTTCAGTTTATTTTTTGGGAATTATGTTGTACCCGAATTGAGATGAAGAAAGGGTTGAAGGAGATGAATTGATGGGGAAAGATGCATGAATCGATGACGAATGAATACAACGCCTTCAAACCAATTGCAAAGTGCCGACGCATTTCCAATCCCCTCCATAACACATCACAACATTATATTTTTAATCGATTCCTATTATAAGTCAAACCCTCAATTAAAATACTTCCATAATTCTCGGTCATTTTTCTTATAATAGTTGCTTTTAACGAGAATCTTCACAAATTAATTAAAATCACATTTCTAATGTGTATTTTATTATTATTATTATTATACCTTAAAATATTTTCAACTTTCTCTTAAGTAACTGTTTAAAATATATCTTAAAAATTCTATAAAATTTACTTAATAAAAATGTGTAAAAATGTTTAACATATATATATATATATATATATATATATATATATATATATATATATATTGATTTCTCATGTGAGTCAAACATATTCAACACATGTAATAAGTATTTATGAATTTGAAATTAAGAAAGAGTTACATTATAAGTTGATAAAAAAAAAAAAACTAAATGTTTTTAACAATATTTTAATGGCGAGGGGATATATTTGTAATAAAATTATAATAATTAAAAAAACTCCTATACATCTAAAAAAAATCGAATACAATGTTAATAAATACGATAGAATTCATTATAATTTGCGCATGAGTATTTTCATTCATATTTTTATTTAAGTTTCAATATATATTTTTTAATTATCGCCAGTAAAAATAACTCTATGTTACAACATAGATTATTTGCATTATATCTAACGATAAAATTACATATTGAAAAGTATTTGTTTATATAAAAAAATAATTACAGTATAATTTATATATTTAAAATTAAAACAAAAAATTAACTCCTCTAAAACCTGAGAGCCCTAGCTAGTGAACCAATGTTACAGGAAACATATATATTCTCAAAGAAAAAAAAACACTTTTTTATCATTAAATAGATGAATCCATTCCCAAATAATGTTGATTTTACAGTTCTGAATTTATTGCTATAGTTTTTTTTTAATGTATAGATAGATATACACGGGTATGACAGAGAGTGATGAAAAGGTAGGAATATACTTATCTGTCATGGCTTTATGAAGCAAAAATTGAGGAGATGTGGACCTCAGTTTCTGCTGCCAAAAATAATAAACAAAGTTAAGACGGTGAGTCATAACATGGATTGGATGTCTTCAAAATTAGACCTTATCTTCTATCTTAGCTGTCTCATACAACTTATCAATTTCTCACCATATATAACGTGATTTGATGCTGACAATTTTATGTGCAATAATAATGCATAAACTCGACCATATATAGAAAACAATAAAACTGGTCAATGTTATCCAAATCTTGTTTTGCTCATCTTACGTATATAAGGGCCTGATATTCTCTCAGTTCAACATAACTGCTGTATTTCTTGGCCTCGTGGGTGTCATTCATTTTCTTTATTCTTCTTAGCAACACACCATGAATCAAAAGGCGCAGAATTTTTGTGTGGAGAGGATCATGGATGGTCATGAAGGTGGGAACACCAATTGGGTCATCAAGGAAGATGGTGAAGATAGCAATGATTCATCATCCATTGGTATCATGTCAGAAGAAGACTCAGTGGATTCTGTGTGTTCTTCTTTTTCTTCAGAGTTGGCCGAGGATGCGTCCTCTTCAACATCTTCTTCATCAACTCGTTCAAATGGACCCTTGTATGAATTATCAGACCTCATGAACCATCTCCCTATCAAGTAAGCATATAAGCCCTCATGCCTTGTGAATTTTATTTAGTCTCCATTTACCATGGATACACTGATACAAAGTTATTTCATCATCATCATCATCATCATTAATCTTAAGAATTGGTGTATATAATTTGTTGTGTTCACTAAGTAGTTTATACATATGGCTTGTGCAGGAGAGGGTTATCTATGTTCTATCAAGGGAAGGCACAGTCTTTCACTTCTTTAGCTAGCGTGGAGAGCATAGAAGATCTTCCCAAGAAAGGCACACCTTATAGCAAGAGAATGAAATCATGCAAAAGTTTTGGGGGAGGTTTAGATAGTCACAAAACATTGTGCAGTCCAAAGGCTACAATATCAAAGAAAGCATCAAGAGGGTCTTTTGCATCTGTAATGGGCAAAAGAGGGAGTTTCCTACGAGGGTCTAGACCTTCCATTGCTGCTCACAAAAACTTCTGAAGTTCAGCATCTTAGGGTTATTGCTGATTCTGTGTACAAAATCCGGAAAATTTTGGAGTTTTAAGCTTCATCTTATTGAGTCGAAGCGATATGATCAATTAGCATATTTGATACATTTTGGTGGTATTGATCCTTGCCAGCTACAGTCATTACTACTCAATCCAATGATTGCCAATTAGCCATACGATCCCAACTTATTACCTTAATATTCATGTGACACCAAAGCTTTTTTGAGATCAAATTTTTAGGTTTTTTCTTTTAGGAATTGGTATATATACTTCACTTGTATATAATTTTACATAAATTTGAGGGGAAACTCTAATATACTATCTCTTAACTTCGAATACGATGTACTTTGGTTCTTAGACTCTTCAGAAAAATATGATACGGTTCTTAAACCATTATATGTTTGTGTTGTAGTCCCGATATCTAAGCATTGGATAAATATTAACGTAAATTAATTTGTCAGAAGAAATAGTTATGCGATTTAAGCGTGATGATTTGTGAAATTTTTTTAACAAAAATTAAACAAAAGGACTGGAAAAATACATTTCAAAATATTTAGAGATGACGATGCTCATGGAATTGCGAATCAAAGTAAAAAATATATATAATTATTATAAAAAGTAAATAGTTTATATTCTGATGATGTAAATGATTTATTAACATTTATAATAATATAAAAATAATACCAATCATATTATTTATCGGCCCATAATGTATTTTTTTACCCTTACAGTACATAGATATTAATATCTTTTAAAAATTCAAACGTAATTGTTTCCTTAATTTATAGTTAACATTAAACTAGCTTCATTCATTTGAGGTCATGGACTACTTGTGCTGCTGTTATTTTGACGATTGATATATATTTTTTCTCTTGCAATGTTCCGTTTGGTCGGGTGGAGGGGGTGATGGTCCTCCCAAATTTTTAATGTCATATTTTATATTCAATTGTTATATGTATAGGGTAATTAATCTTGAAGCATAGTACTTTGTGAGTTCATTTAACCATCGCTCCTTTCAGTGTAATTGTTCAAACCAACCGTAGTTGAGTAAATTGAAATAGTGACATGATTTTAGTTACCAAAAATTGAAAGCTTTATGATTGGAGCTTCTTAATTGCTGTTGTCACTTCTTTAGTTTCTTGAAAAAATCATACAAGTGTTTGTTTTGTTATTTCATTTCATCCATTGCTCACAGATCAACTATCTTTGTATTTAACTACCCAAACAGAAAAGTAGTTCTGTAACTATCGATGACATTGAGTGTACACGATGACCGGTATAGTTGGATTTTTCTTTAGTACAAATGTACAATGGAGTCCAAAACGTTCATTTTCTTGTTATTTCTCTCGGAGCACAAGTTAAACCATACATAAACTCATCGAAATAAATTTCAATGGGTCAACAATATTGCTATAAATTATTTACTTTCCTTCTTTCAAGTTACAAGTCAAATACAATTAACAAAATGGGAGATGGGAAGCTATAAAAAAAATCAGGATAATTATTTGCCTGAACAATTTTCATCGGCGAAGATTCCTACACTTTGTGTATTAAAAAAAAATCTGATGAAGAAATTTGCATATGAAGAAGCTCCTCTTCAGAAAGGTCATAGCCTGTATACAGGTTCAATTCCAAGGAGATAAAAGCAATGTCTCATCACAGTTACCGTTGCTTCACATAACAAGAGTCTACTTGTCTCCTCAGGCGACCCCACAACCTGCCAAAGGTATGATGTTCAATAGCATCGCCTCAATCTAAACATTATTCTTTCACCAAACCTACCTAGGATGCTATCCTGTAGGATATATAGTACCTTACTTCTACCATGTGTCACAATGAATAAAACAAATCTGCTTGGCAGTACAATACTAGGAAATAGCAATGGGAAAGCATAAAAATGTAAATATTGTGTAGTATAAGTTAATCGCTTTAGAAGCATACCTGACAATTAGAGTAGAATTTTTTTGTAAAGATTTCCGCCAAATTGTATAGGTATTCACACAACAAATTCGGTAACAAATTGGTGCACGCCTCCTCAAAAACCTGAAAAATAAAACAGTAGCCTTGTATAAGGTAAGAATCTTTTGGATTAGAAAACAATAAGCAGGAATCTCATACGCTTCAATATCTCAAAGTCTTCTGTTCAAACAAAATGGAGCCCCAATAACAAAGTCTAAAATATTGCAGTATACAGAAGTCTAAAGCTCAAGAACAACATATACTATTCACATATCCCACCTCTGGAAATTGTAGCAAATGAAGCCCTAAGGCACGTTCATCTTCATGATCCAACACTATTTTCCCATTCTGTCAATAGTTGGTAAACATGAAATAGACCGTAAGAAATGTGCACAAGTCAATATTCAGAAAACTTATTACTATAAACACATCATCACTGAGGTCATCACGTTATAATAGATTAGTGCTGAATTGACTCACATCAAGCCAACCTTGATAAACCTAGGCATAAACTCTTGTAGAAAACTAAGCATATGATACAAAAAATAATTGAATCAAAATCATTTTTTTACGAACAAAAAATCAATAAACTAGGGAGTCATCTTCCTGGGAAAGAAAGGTAAACTTACTCTCTTTACTTCTTCTATGTCTCTACCAGATTTCCTGATAATGGAACAGATCCTTGCATGTGCATACTGCAAATAAACAGCAGTATTCCCCTGTTTCACAACAAGCTTAGGAAGGTGAGACATAAATAACTGCAGATCTGTCATATAAGTCGGGGATGAAGAGTTCACCAAATGCCAACATAAGTTTCATATGCATATCATTAAGCTGTTTTGCAGCAATTGTTACAAAGAAGAAGCAAACATTTATAGCCTCAAAGGTGAGTTATAACTAAGAAAAGGATCTGACTCTTAAAGTGATGGTTTCACTTCAGAGAGTCAACAGCAAGTGATAAGAACTAAAGAATACCAAAGGGAGTCAAATATCACAAACCAATGGTTTATTACCATGTTCTTACTTCTTGTATTTCATCAAGTCAAGAACGGTGATATCTTCCATCCATGGTTATCTACCACAGACTACTCTAAGAAGTTACCCTACATTTCAGAGGATATTTGTAAAGGGGGGATTAAAAGCAGGACAGGGCTCATAGAGAATGTCTGTACTAGCTTCTCTACTTTAACCTCACCATCATACACTCAATTTGTATACAGTTGATGCACCTTATCATTAAGCATCTGGTCAAAGTTGAATGTGTAATTTGTAAATCTGTTGATCTTCAAATCAGCATACCTGCAAACACAAAAGAGATATAACTATATAAAGGGCTACAATACTAGACTACAACTCATTTAGTGTTCTCATCACGGGCATAATCACTCAAGCAAACCGAATCAATCAGGTCAAAACAAAACATATTCTAAAAGCACAAAAATGTTAACTACGTAGACAAAGTTATATGCTTTGCTTTACTTGGGATTTATTCCATTCACTGGTGTAATCAGAAACCTCACAGTGACAATGAATACATATCAACATGATTAAGAGCATTGCTCAGAATATAAAAAACACCCAGTATATAACAGATTTAAAAATTCACCTGCATATATTAACAGGAATTTGTAACCGAATCACCTGTATATTAACACAATAGTATGCTCACAAAAAAGTAAACTACAACTTAGCATGATGAACAAAATGTTGATTTTGCATAGAAGTAGGGGGGGAATTATTGAATTCAAGGAGCTTACTTAACAGCTCCATAACCAATTGCTTCGGATGTTTTCTCAATCTCCTCCTCAGACCAATCTTTAGCTGTATCTGAAAGAACATAGTATCTGGAAAATTAGCTGTCAGTCACAATAATTGCACTAAATGAAATTTTAAATGGGCACCAGCAATGATGAATCTTAATCAAGCAGAATATTCATTCATGGATGCTTGCATGCAGATAAGGAACAGGTAAAAAGAGCTTAGGTACTTTACCACGTTCAAGAATGGCAGTTTTACAACGCCTTTTAGCTTCATCAAGTAAATCAACCAACCGAACAACCTCACTGCTGCGGCTCCGAAATCGTTTTCCATCTTCCCCAAGAACAAGACCAAAACCTACATGAGTACACTTTGGATATGCATTCTCATCCTTTGGTAACCAACCTGCACGCCTATAGGCCTAAAAGAAAAAGGAAGTATGACACTTCAACTAGCTGGAATATTGGCAGCGATAGATTAAGTATTATATCATAGTCCAGTACTTTCTCTTCTAAAAATTGAAAAAATAATATGAAATTACCAATCATAGAAAAAGATTTAGGACATAAATGTCAGAAAACATGGACAAGTCAACGTGCAAGGACAAATTGCTACTGGCATAAACAAGTAGAAAAAGGGTGATGACAACAATTTAATGTAGTAACCATAAGATCCTATAAAAATCATCATTTGAAATATACCTTAAAAAGCATATCAAAGTGTTGCTGCTGCCCAATATCTGTAACATATACAATCCACTCAACTTTTTCTTCATTTAGACGATACCTACACAGTTCAAATAAAGTTCAGATAACAAGACAGTCTGTTTTCCTCATTTTTCCTGCTCCATGCTCAGATACAATGCAGACAGATACAAGTAGGTATCCCATATTTTACATGAATGGAAGAGTATATAAAACATTCAATATAAATAAATTTGAAATAATAATTGATAACAAGTTTGGTACTCATGTGAGCCAGCAACTCTAACATAACTTTACAATGTATGTACGAAAAACTAAGTAAAACTAACCAAAGTGATGCTAGATCAGTTGAAAAGTAGTTGTAGCCACCATCTCTTTTCACAGCAATAAGTGGTATGTTTACACCCTCAACATATATCACACGTGCACCATCACTCTCTTCAATCAGTCCTAAATTGTCCAATTTCTCCAAAACCCCAGGAATATATGGATTATAAAAGCTCTCTCCCTGGATTAAAAAATGTACTGATATAAGTAAAACCATTTGTAATTACTGCAACATAAATTACAT